ATTGCATAACCACTTGCATCACACATTAGTTCAAAGTGTTTCTCCCAATCATATGAAATAATTATAGAAGCAGTGATTACTTTTCCTTCAATGTTTCAAAGGCTTAAAGCACTCTTGATTGAAATCAAATTTTGTATCTTTTTTCCAGAAGTTGGCATAAAGACTTCGTAATTTTTGAAAAATCTTTAATATATCGCTTGTAAAATCCAGCATGTCATAAAAAACTACCAACTCCTCTTCCATTAGTAGGTGGTGGTAGGTTAGATATAACCTATTTTTTTGTCGGATCTACTTCCATGCCATTTTCTTAAATTTTATGCCCAAGTATAATTCCTCCTGCATCCATGAATTGACATTTTTCCTAGTTTAACACTAGATTTTTCTCTTCACATCATTCTAAAACTTTCTCTAAATGATTTAGACATGTTTCAAATGAAGTTTCAAACACAGAAAAATCGTCCATAAAGACTTCGCCCTTTTTCAATTAAGTCACTAAAAATTGACATCATACATCTTTGAAATGTTGCATGTGTGTTACATAAGCCAAAGTTCATTCGTCAAAAAATAAAAGCTCCATAAGGACTGGTAAACGTTGTTTTCTTTTGATCCTCTAGAGCAATTAATATTTGATGATAGTCGTTATATCCATCTAAAAAGCAAAAATATATGTGTGCAACTAGTCTATCCAGCATCTAGTTCAGATAGGGTAAAGGAAAACGGTCTTTCATAGTGGCAGAATTTAATTTTTGATAATCTATGCAAATTTTCCATCATGTGACTTATCTTGTTGGTATTAATTCATGATTCTCATTTATCACTACAGTCACTCGTCGTTTCTTTAGAACAAAGTTAATTGGACTCACCTAAGCACTATTTGAAATAAGATATATTACTCACGCATCTAATCATTTTAAAATTTCTTTATTGACAACTTCTTTCATCATAGGGTTCAATCGCCTTTGACGATCAGCTCTTGGCTCATGATCATGATGTTCTTCCAATAAAATTCTGTGCATACAATTTGAAGGACTGATTCCTTTAATATTAGCTAATGTCCATCCAAAGGCTTTCTTATATCTTCTTAAAGTTTCTAAAAACATTTTTCTTGCGTATCGGTTAATTTTGAGGATACAAAAACAAGTAATGTGTATAAATTTCCTAAAAATGCATACTTTAAATGTGTACGAAGTGTTTCCATTTTTAGTTCAGGATGTTTCTCAATAGATGAAATCAAATTTTTATTATTATCTATAGGATTTAACATTTCAAATTGTTCCTGAACATAATTCAATTCTTTATTACTCACTTCCAGAGATTCATTTTAAACTTTATCCTCATTCTCAGTATCCAAATATTCTTTTTCAGATTTCTTTTCAAATGTCTTAGTGAAATATTCACGACTTAAATAGTCATTAATATCCATTTGAAAAAATTTAATATCACTTTCTTTTTCAGGTTATCTCATTGATTTTGTAATATTAAACGTAACCTCTTAATCACTAACTCTCCCAGTTAGTTCTCCTTTCTACACATCTATCAAAGCTCTTCTAGTGGCAAGAAATAATCTTCCTAAAATGATAGAAATTTCTTTATCTTCCCCCAAGAGATGGTCTTCCTAAAATGATAAAAATTTCTTTATCTTCCTCAATATCTAATACAATAAAATTCCTAGGAAAGATAATTTTATCAACATTTACCAAAACATCTTCTATAACTCCTTTAGGATAGGTAATCGAACGATCATCGAACTGAAGAGTTACGGTTGTAGGTGAGATGTCTCATAAACCCTACCTTCTGAAAAATGATAGAGGCATCAAATTAATACCGGCTCCTAAATCACATAAAGCTTTTTTAAAAAATCCTTCGCCAATAGTGCAAAGAATAGTAAAACTACCAGAATCTCTAAGTTTCTCAGGAAGCTTTTTTGGAATTATAACACTACACTCTTCACTGAGTGCAACAGTCTCATTATCCATCTCATTATCCACAAACTGCCTTATCCACAAACTGCCTTTTCTTATTAAGTATATCCTTCATAAAATTCACATAGCTTGACATTTGTTCTAGGGTTTCGATAAATGAAATGTTTATAATTAATTTCCTCGAGATTTCCAAAAATTTTGAAAATTGGTTATCTTTGTTTTTCGGTATCAATCTTTGAGGAAATGAAGGTGGTGGTCTTTCTACAGTAATTTTCATTAGTTTGATAGAACATTCTGTCTTAAAATGAAAATCTTCATCAGAATTTTCATTTTCCACCCCTTCTTTTTCAACTTCAACTTCCACTTCTTTTTGAACTTTTTTTCCAATTCTTTTCCACTTCTCAGTTGAACAGCCTTAATTTGTTTTTTATTCTGATCTTTAGGATTTACTTCAATATTACTAGACAAAGTTCCTGGAGGTCTATTACTAAGTGCAGTAGCAATACATCCTAACTGATTTTCCATGTTTCTAATTACAGCTCATTGAATTTGTAATTGACTTCTCATTTGCAATGTTAATTCTTTCATTGAGAACTTCTTCTCCTTACTCTACAAATTGCTATTGAAACCTGGAGTGTAATAAGGTTTATAAGTTGGATTTCTTTGGTTGTTGGAGTTTCCCAAAGGGTTCACAACATTGTTCCCCCATTGTGGGTTTGCAGCATTAGAGTTATTGTTACTCCAACTGAAATTCAGATGATTTTTCCAACCAGGATTATAATAATTGGAATAAGGGTTGTTAGAACGAATATTTATTGCGTTTAAATTCTCATAAGAAGATTGAGATTCTATCATTTATCCCAATGAGTTTTCCTCAAGCACATGTGGTGTTTGAGAACAATTCATTCCATATTGATCTATCTTCTTCGATATAATAACTATTTGGGTAGCCAACATAGATATTTCATCAGCATCATGAATACTAGCTACTCTTTTTGGATTTACCTTTTCAGAGGATCATTGAAAATTATTAATAGTCATCTCTTCAATTAACAAATACGCTTCATCGAATGGTTTTGACATTAATGATCCACCAATAACATCGTCAATTATCGATCTAAGAGATCCAACCAATTCATTATAAAAATTTTGAATTTTTCAGTGTTGAGGAGATGAGAATGCTCTAGTGGAGGAGTCATTTTAGCTCTAGTGACAGACAAGATTAGAAAGAGTCTTCTCAGATGGTTTGGTTGCATTAAATGTCAATCATCTGATGAACCTATTAGGAGAGTAGATATTTATATTTGACTTATGTTAAGAAAGGTTGAGGTTGACCTAAAAGGATGTGGATATGTATAAAAAATATCTTAAACTATTAGAATTAAATGAAAAGGTGACACTCAATAGGACACAATGGAGAAAAACGATTCATGTAGCCGACCCCATATAGTGGGATAGAGGCTTCTTCTTCTTCTTCTTCTTGTTGTTGTTTAATAACTAGTGTTCATTAAAATTTTACCAAGTGTGATATATGTCAGAATCATTTCTAAGGATTAGACATTGATAGTTGCTGAAATTTTGCATTTAATATGTAATTTTCTAATGTAATTTTAAACTTTGACAACCATTAACTTATTGTTTGGAATGAAGGAAACATGTTTATTATTTTCACATTAAATAGAACTGTTTTTACCGAAGCTAATAGATGGTAATCTGGAAATTTTTGTTCGCATCCGTGAACCAAATCCTAGATTGCATTAGTAATCCCTAAAATCTTAACCTTCTTACAGAGCTTACCAACATATCAATCAAAAGTGGGAAGAATTATCAGGGTTAAAAGATCACCATATGGATGACAGAGCCGCAGAAGGCAAGGATTTACATCTAAACTGTAAGTTTGCAATAAAACCTATATAACAATATTAATATCAGCAAAATAATTTACATATATTTTTAAGTTTAAAAGAAAGCCAACATCATGCATGTGCGTGTAATTATGTGAATAATTTTTTCTTCTATAGGCAACATTTTGGCCATAATTTCTCTATATATATGAAACGGAAATAAAAGATGAAGGCTCTAAATTATCAATGTTAATAGAAATGAACCAAATATTTGGTATGTCACAATTTCATGTCTTTGTGATAAGTGAGCGTTTATCAGCCAAATTCTTTTATTTTTGTTTAAGCAAGATGGTAATGAAGTGATTGAAATAATTCTAGAAGTGTAGCATGAAATTTGGAACATATAAATCAGTAAACAAATTGAATTTAATTTTCATAAATTAAATTTTGATATGTTATTATTTTACCAAAGTTAAGAGCATTGAATAATTATATC